CATCCCCGCCGTTCATTTTATAACGCAGAGGCGGACGGCCACGATTCCTCGCCGTCGTCGTCATCGCAAAGTTCCGTTGGCCGACAGACGCGACGGCGCACGGCGTCGCTCCGCTTCCCGGCGTCCATGTGCAGCCGCTCGGCGACGGCGGCGCCGTCGGCCCTCCCTTCGGCAGCGACGGCAGCAGCAGCGTTTTCTCGCCGCCGTCGAGAATCCGAGCTGACTCATTAGGCCTCACGATCGCTAAAATCACCATAATTGATAAGGCTGAGATAATTGCCGCCGTCGCCATTGTCGTCGTTCTTCTGAATTACAGTTGAGCTCTGTGACTGTACGGACTCACAATATGTATATACATATATATATATAGACGTAGAATGGGGATGTTGACCGTTGACCGAATTGTATCGAATTGAATTGGTCCTAATTCTGATTTATAGTTCCTAATTTATGACTGGAAATCTTGGAGTAAAAAATATATATATTCAAAGCTGAACGTAGAAAAAAGAAAAATGTAAAAAATCCTGACTTTGAACAGATTTTGGATTATGGATTGGAATTTCAACAGTAAAAATTTTGAATGCGAATATATAATGTGATATAAATAGGTGTTAATATCATCACTTTTAATGTAAAATTGATTTTTAGTATAATAAAAAAATAAAAAAAATATTTAATTTGATATTTTTAATAAGAAAATTGAATGAATAGTAAATTTTGAAGAAGATCACCCAAACAAACACACTCAAATTATTGATTAAACTGCTGCTCTTTGGGAGACACGTTTCATTTAATTAATTAATTAATTAGGAGTTTATTCAAATTTTTAGTGTATTTTTTTTTCAAAAAAATCTATTCTATTCATTATTTAAATATGGAAATTTAAAGAAATATAATTAGTAAATAATTAAAAATATATTAATAAAAATAATTATAATATAATATTATAAATTAAGATTAAAATTATTTTAATTATTTATATATTTTTATGATATAGGACGAAGTCACGAAGGAGCAATATAATTCAATTTTAATTAGTCTCTAAATATCATTTATTTTATAATAAATATGTATATTAGTATATGATTGTTACCCAAACATATATATATATATATATATATTTTAATGTTTTAATTTAACTTCTATTATTTGTATCAAAATTATTACCATCCAAACCTTGACTTAATTATAATTTCATTTACACAAGTCATTTTTTACACAAACTTAAAAACATTATGTGCCACAAAATTTAATTCAACAAAAATTACTTTCGTATTGTACTCCCTCCGTCTTATAATTAGATATCCATTTGTTTTTTCACGTAATTTTAGAAATATTAGTATTATATTGGGATGTAGTAGGAATAAAATAGAAAAGACTAAAATAACCTTATTAGTATGTGTGATATAAAAGTAATGTCATTTGTGTAATATATTGTAAATTGCAAGAGTATTTGTAATGTTAGGTATACAATACAGTTACTATTAAAAGAAAATTGATACTTTGTTACGGCAACCGACTAAAATAGAAAAATGGATATTCTTAAAATGAGTATTTAAATTTGATTAATCATATTCATATATATATATATATATATATAACAATATAATTTTACCTCAATTAAAATTTACAATACAAAATTTTACAGGAACACCAACATATAAACCCTAAATAATTAGCTAATTTTATTATGATTAATTTAGGTATAGTTTCAAGCCTTATTTATGTGACCAAGCTGGTTCGTTAGTTAATTAACTAATTTATTTATTTTATTTAGGGATGGTCAATTTCAGGAGAATGTATCTTGTTTGCATTTTAATAATAAAAAGTGGTCTAACCTTAATGCAAAACTATAAGGCTCTCGATCTTTATATACATATTTTTGTGATATTAACATTATTCATAATACTTTTTTTTTTTTAATTTTTAATATCATATTATTTTTTACATTAAAAAAATATCAAATTAGATATTTAATTTTTTATTACTTAAAAAAAATTAAAATTGCAGTGTATTTTTTTGGCAAAACTTTTTCAATTTCTTCAAAACTATTGTTTGTGGATTAGATTTTCAAGTTTGAATTTTTGAATAGTATAAATTGGAATTTGAATAATTATTTGATATGATATAAATGGATATTAATATCAATGTAAAATAATTTTTTTAGTATAATACTTCATCCGTCCCTTAACAATCTATCCATTTTTCGTCCCATAACAAAGTATTCATTTCTTTTTTAGTAATCGTATATACCTAATATTACAAATACCCTTCAAATTTATAATATATTACACAAATGCCTCTTCAAATTTACAATATATTACACAAATGTCATTACCTTTATATCATACAATTCTAATAGGGTTAATTTAGTTTTTTTTACCTTTATTTATACCTTATCTCAATATAATACTAATATTTTTAAAACTCTGCAAAAAAAAAAAAAAACAAATGGATATACGAATTTTGAGTTTTTTACTATTTAAAATAAAATTCCCCAAAACTCATCAAATCAAATATATACTCCCTCCGTCCACTTACAATATTTACATTTACTTTTGGCGCATTGTTTAAGAAATAATACTACCTCCGTCCCACATACCGTGTCTGCTACACTGTAGACACGGTATTTTAGGAGGAGTGTAATTAATAGATAATTAAAAATGTATTAGTGAATATAATTATCCGATAATATAAATAATTATAAATTAAGATTAAGATAACTAATTAGTTTAATTAAAATTAAAAAAAATAAAATTAAAAAGTTAAAAATGAGATTAAAGTGTGTAATCATTTTCCAAAAAAGGAAAGTGACATAGTATGTGTGACAGACAGAAACGGCAATGTGGACATGGTATGTGGGACGGAGGGAATAATATTTTAATTATAGTGAATAGTTAAAAGTAGTGTAATGACATTTTTGCCCTTAATTTTTTGTGTAAAAGTAATGATGTGATGCAAAGTAAGAATATTTGTGGAAAAAAGTAGAGTATTTAATGAAATATTAACTTTGTAATTGTACGCCTCAAAATAGAAATATGTAAACATTGTAAGTGGACAGAGGAATTATTTTTTTTTTTTTTGTTATATTACAATAAAATTTAATTTTACATTTGAAATATCATATCAACATATATATATCATGTTAAAATTCTATTTTAATTCAAAATTTTACTACTCCCTCCGTCCCGCTGCAAGGTTGCCATTGATTTTTTGCATGTTGATTTTTGAATATTAATTATTATATCAAGACGTAGTACAAATCGAGAAAAAAAGACAAAAATATATTTATTAATCTCTTATAATACCAATAAAATATATTTTTAGAATAAATTATTCAAATATAAAAATATTTTTAATGTCAAATTGAATTAAGTCAAATGACAACACTGCAGGGACGGAGAGAACAGTCATTTTTCCAATCCAAAACTCACAATTATGAGCATCTTACATTTTTCCAAAAAATAAATAATTTGTCTGTATTAGGGTGAAACCTAAGTCAAAATTCCACTAACTCCACTAGTACGAAATATTTTGGAGAATATAAAAAAATAAATTCGTGCGGACTTAGCCCAAAACGGACAATATCATACTAGTGTTGAGTTGCCCAAGTTCCAACAGTCGGGTAATAAATGTTTAATTTTTTTTTTTGAAAAAAAAACTGTTCATAAATAATAAAATCCAGTTAAAAAGACCACAAGCAAAAGCAAACACACGCGATTGCTTGATTTTGAAGTTCTTTAAAAAACACTATACATATTTAAATATTTAGACATAAGTTTTAATAAAAATTAATAATAATAATAATAATATTCTTAGAATAATAAAAATTTAAATTTTTTTACTTAAAAAAAACTAAAATATGTTTTTCTATGATAATCTAAAAAAAAAAACCACTATTCCCTCATTCTCTTAAACAAATTATTTATTTTTTCATTTTTTTCTAGTAATTTTATTTTTTTATCTAATATTACAACTTACAATATATTATACAAATATCATTACCTTTATATCACACAATACTAATAAAATTATTTTAATTATTTTTTATTTATTCCTACTATATCACGATATAATACTTATATTTCTAAATCTCCTTAAAAAAAAATAGCAAACAAATGCATAGATATAAGAGGGAAGAAGTACAAAGTATGCTCTTCTGTAAAACTTATTTTAACACCACCCCAATCTATATGATTTATTTTATTTTTTATAGGAAAATCAATCTTTAATAAAAAAATTATTATTTTTTATATTATAAATAAAAAGATTTTCAAATCAAAGTAATTTTTTTTTTGTTTGGTTTTGTTGAGTGATTGTCATCTTAATTCCCCCGGCAGAGGCGTATGCGCGCGAACACTTGTCTCGAGAAAGTTTCTAACAGTCTCCGCAAATGGTGCGCACTGTGCCTCTCCTCCACACCGCCCCATCCACGCCATTTCCATTCTTCAATTCAATTCCGACATTCCTAAACCTCGTACTTACCTACCTACCTACGTAAACGAAAACCGCGTTTAATTTGATTTTTTAATTTCAGATTTCATTCATTCACTCATTGATTGATTCTATTATGTGCCTTCGTGGTGGTGTGATCGATCACCCGGACAAAAAGGCATTCCAGATTTCCCAGACGCGAACGATCGACGACGACGATCGGAAACCTAATTGAATTTCTGTTGTCTCTCCAAACAATATGGTACGACGATGATGTAATGCCTATTCGATTCGATTCGATATATATATATATTTGTTTTTGTTGTACGAATGTTGCAATTTTCAGATTTGCAATTTTTCTCGCCTGCTCCTTTTCTGTTCAGTGAAGTTTCTTACAGTTATGCAGTACTTGGTTGTGTTATTACAGCGCATCTTTGATTAATGTTAGAACAGAACCACATTTCTTCATGGTATCGAAATTTGAGGAATCAAATTGAAATAGTGAATAAATTTCTTCTAACAATGGATGTTTCGATCTGTTAACGAGTAATTTCGACTTTCCTAAAATGTTCGCGCAGGGTACTCAAGTCAACATCATCGTCGGCTCTCATGTCTGGGTCGAAGACCCCGACGTCGCCTGGATTGAAGGCGAAGTCACGAAGATCAACGGCCAGGATATTGAGGTCGAAGGATCCAACGGCAAGAAGGTGCTTGATCACTCCTTTGCTTGCTTTTATTACAACAACGAATAGTTTGGACAGTTTACATTTGATCTCTTGTTTGCACATTTAGTACTATGTTTGAACCTCTAATTTTCTTTCATCAGATTACGGCTAAATTGTCGAGTACATACCCTAAAGACGAGGATGCCCCGGCCGGAGGAGTCGACGATATGACAAAACTATCGTATCTACACGAGCCCGGAGTGTTACAGAACTTGGCAACAAGATACCAACTCAATGAAATATATGTAAGAAAAACCATCGAATTCATGTCCAATTATTACCGTTCTTCAAAGTCATTTGCGGTTTCACGAAATTGCACGAAATTCTCCATACTTTTAAAATTACGTCAAACTCTCTCGTGGTTTTATAAACTCCGCGTCTAACTTCCTTGGCTCTCCTTATTTAAAAGTATCTGATCTACAGGCGCCCCAAATACAAATAAGTTTCAGAATTTTTGTTTCTAAACACTTAAATTACAAATATAGTCATTATTCTTATTATTTAATTCAAAAAATTAATCTTCATTTCTTATACTTAGAACTAGTTACTTTTATCTAATTTTAAAAGTTTTTATTACCGTTATTTAAGGCTAATGAAAATATTTATAACTTCAGAAGTTTAGAAATGATTATTCTGAAATTCGTTCGAAATTTGAGCGTGTGTAAGTAAAAAAATGATAAATAAGGATGGCTGAGGGGGTTTGACACAAAACTTATGAAACCAGGAGGGAGTTTGACGCAATTTTGAAAGTACGAGGGATTTTGCGCAATTTTGTGAAATCACATGCGGATTTTGTGCAATTTAGTCTAATGTTCGCGAAAACTAATGTTTTCATTCTATCTACATTGTCTAGACATACACAGGGAGCATCCTTATCGCCATCAATCCATTCCAACGGCTTCCTCACTTGTATGACGCGCACATGATGCAGCAATACAAGGGTGCGCCGTTCGGAGAATTGAGCCCTCATGTTTTCGCTATTGCTGACATGTCTTACAGGTGATCGACGGCAGTAAAAAAGTTTTTTACCCCCTTCTTTTAACCTTGGAAATTTATCTGATCATTGTAAGGTCGAAACAGGGCAATGGTAAATGAGGGTAAAAGTAACTCGATATTAGTCAGCGGCGAAAGTGGCGCTGGTAAAACGGAAACTACTAAGATGCTTATGCGATATCTCGCGTATTTAGGAGGCCGTAAAGCAACTGAAGGACGGACTGTCGAACAACAAGTTCTCGAGGTAAAAAAATGAAAATTAGTGTCCTAACATTAAAACAAGAGTTAGGACATTTGGACGCTCTATGGTATGTCTGAAACTTTCTGAACGGTTCCCCGCAGTCCAATCCAGTACTCGAAGCGTTTGGCAATGCGAAAACTGTAAGAAACAACAACTCAAGGTGAGTGTAAGAAAAACTGATTTGAATGATGGATGTTATTACCTGTTTCAAACTAATCTCCTACATGCAGTCGTTTTGGTAAATTCGTCGAAATTCAATTCGACAAGCATGGACGAATATCGGGGGCAGCCATTAGGACATATCTTCTCGAAAGATCTCGTGTTTGTCAGGTTTCGGATCCGGAAAGAAATTATCACTGTTTTTATCTGCTTTGTGCAGCTCCTCAGGAGGTATACTCTGTTTTCAGACAAACTTTTTATTTTTTATTTTTTATTTTTTTTTTTTTCTGATCGATTCATTCTCAGGAGATTACCAAGTATAAGTTATCGAATCCGAAGACATTTCACTATCTTAATCAATCGAATTGTTACGAACTTGTTGGTGTGAACGATGCTCACGAGTTTTTGGCAACGAGGAGAGCTATGGACATTGTCGGAATAAGCCAAAAAGAGCAGGTAATAATCTCAGCATGAGTTACTACTATACATGATGTCCGAAACAAACTTTTTTTTTTTTTTTGGCTAAATTGCCCAAAGCCTAACTGTGGCTTCATAAAATTGCGTCAAATCGCCTGTATTTGTAAAACTGACATCGTGGTTTTATAAACTATGTGTCTAATACGGTCCTTATTTAATGGTATTTGACTTAAATGCGCCGAATAAATTTTAGAATTTTAATTTCTAAACCCCTAAACTTACAAATATATTATTTTTTCTTATATTTAGCCTTAAAAAAATAGTTATTTTTTTCAGGTTTTAAGAATTTATTTTTACTATTTTTTTAGGCTAAATATAAAAAAAATAAATATATTTATAATTTTAGGGGTTTAGAAATTGAGGTTCTAAAATTTATTTGTAATTTTGGGCGCATTTAAGTCAAATACTATTAAATAAAGACCGCCTTAGACTAAGAGTTTATGAAACTAACGAGGGAGTTTGATGCAGTTTTACTTTTTTTTTTTTTTTGGATGGCTGCTTAAGATTCTCTCACTCCTCAGGATGCAATTTTCAGAGTCGTCGCAGCTATTCTTCATATCGGGAATGTGGATTTTATGAAGGGAAAGGAAATAGATTCGTCGGTTCTAAAGGATGACAAGTCGAAATTCCATCTTCAGACAGCTGCAGAGCTTCTGATGTAATGAATGAATGAATGAATGGATGAATGACTCTTCCTTTCGATCCAATACTATCTTATCTTCTGATTGTCTGAATGTTTTTATGTCTATATTATTATTAGGTGCGACTCTTCTGCACTCGAAGATGCGCTGCTGAAGCGTGTGATGGTAACTCCCGAAGAAGTTATCAAGAGAAGTCTCGATCCCAAAAGCGCGACAGTTAGTCGCGATGGATTGGCTAAAACGATATACTCTCGCTTGTTTGATTGGTACGATGTTAGTTAACTTCATCTTCATTCGCATTTCTTGTCATTATTTGTTACCTAATATCTGGTTATGATGCTGACTGAGGTCAATTAGTACCATGTTGATTAACGCCCCGGTTAGCACATTGTCTAGATATGCACAACATAGGATTGTTGTTTAAACATGTGTTGTATATATGATTAGTATCCGCCATTAGTTATATGCTCCATCTGTCCCTTAACAAACTATCTATTTTTTTTATTTTGGTCAGTCCTATAACAAAATATTTATTTTCTTTTTTAGTAACCATACTATCCATCTAACATTACAAATATCTTTACAACTTACAATATACTCCCTTCGTCCACACACAAAGTATACATTTACTTTTGGCGCGGTGTTTAAAAAATAATAGTATTTTAATTATAATGGGTAGTTAAAAGTAGTGTAACGATATTTTTGCCCTTGCCTTTTGGTATAAAAGTAATGATGTGATGTAAAAGTAAGAGTCCCAAAATAGAAATATGTATACTTTCTAGCTGGACGGAGGGAGTATTATACAAATGTCATTACTTTTATACATACAATACTAATAAGTTTATTTTAGTTATTTCTACTTTATTATTTTGCATATCAATATAATATACATAAAAACTCTGTGCAAAAAGTAAATCAATATCTAGTATATATTGTGTTGTGTTAACATATAATATGTACTGAGATTAATTATGACACTTACGTGTATCATTGTCATATGATGTCAGTTCATAGGCTAAATCATATTATGTCGTTGATATATATTGAAATCAATGATGACAAGTGCTCTGTGGATTATTGTAATGAACTGGCGGTTTATGTTATATTTGTCTTAATGTTAACTAAAACTCTGTGTTGTCTATTTATTTGTTATGTGCTGCACTATATTATTCAGTACTCTAACCGCCGCTCTTGATATAAGTCAATTCGATGCAATGTTCTTACAGGTTGGTTGATAAAATAAATAACTCCATCGGGCAAGATCCAAACTCCAAAGTCCTAATCGGAGTTCTCGATATTTATGGTTTCGAAAGTTTTAAGAGCAATAGGTAAGAGTTGGTTTATTACACAGCTTCATCGATCTCCCCGAACTAACACTTATACATTATGTCAATAGTTTCGAACAATTTTGCATTAACTACACGAACGAAAAGCTACAACAACACTTCAATCAGGTATTCTTCCGGGCTCTTCGCGCCTTTTTTTTTTTTTTTTTTTTTTTTCAAAATCCATAGTTGTCATAAAAGTCGATGTAGAACTAATACTGAAAATTGTAAATTCTATTTCCAGCACGTTTTCAAGATGGAGCAAGAAGAATACGAAAGAGAAGCGATCGATTGGAGCTACATAGAATTCGTGGACAATCAAGATGTCCTTGATCTTATCGAAAAGGTTCCTTAAACATAGTTTCTTACAAGAAGCAACCCTTAAATTCAATCGAATATATATACATATGGATATGAACAAATTTTCTTATTATAACAGAAACCTGGGGGAATCGTGACTCTTCTCGACGAGGCCTGGTAAGATTTCAGCGTGCTCTCGAAGTGGCGATGATCGATGATTTTCTTACAAGAAGCAATCCTTAAATCATTCGAATATATATGGGATATGAGCAAATTTTCTTATTCAATTTCTTTTGTTTGGATTTCAGTATGTTCCCGAAGTCGACACACGAAACATTTTCGCAGAAGCTTTACCAGACGTTTAAAAACCACAAACGTTTCATCAAACCGAAGCTGTCTCGAACAGATTTCACCATTGCTCATTATGCCGGAGAGGTAACTAACCTTAACATTACTACATTTTGTGTCTGTGTTTTCGATCTCAATTAAGGTTGTCGGGCTGTTCCCTCAATCAGTACATTATAATGATATATACAATATATGATTGCTGTTGAAACATGTGATATGTTGGAAGATAATAGCGACATGTGTTATATAAATTATTATCATATATATATATTAACATAAATTTGTCAGTTGTTCAACTATATTTATACCGAATATATTGATTCAACATACTAACAGTGGCCTTCCAGGTTATGTACCAATCCGACCAATTTTTGGACAAGAACAAAGATTACGTCGTGCCTGAACATCAGGATCTGCTAAATGCCTCCAAATGCTCGTTCGTCGCCGGACTATTCCCTCCTCTCCCCGAAGAGACGAACAAATCTTCGAATAAGTCCTCAAAGTTTTCGTCGATAGGTTCTCGTTTTAAGGTACTTCTTAAGATCCCTTCTTACATCCTCGATGTTTCCAAATTTCATCGTCTCCTTACAATCTGATGCTTCGAAAAATCGCTGCAGTTACAACTTCAACAACTCATGGACACGCTAAACTCAACAGAGCCACATTACATTCGATGTGTGAAGCCAAACAATCTCCTCAAGCCCGGTATATTCGAGAACAACAATATCTTACAGCAACTACGGTGCGGCGTAAGTTTCAGACAACTATTCGAAATTCGATTCTATAATATATCAACATTTGTCGTCGAATCCACCGTATTTTTTTTTCTTTTTTTCGAACTGCAGGGTGTTCTAGAGGCTATTCGAATCAGCTGTGCCGGATATCCTACTCGAAAGACGTTTTTCGAGTTCATTAACCGGTTCGGTATTCTTGCGCCGGAAGTCGTCGAGGGAAAGTAAGTGTGCTTATCTTCAATATATTGGTTCGATCATCGACCGTTTATCAGTTTTCTAAAGCGACGAAATCCTCTGATCAGTCTCGACGAAAAAACCGCATGCAAAAAAATTATCGAGAAGATGGGTCTATCCGGCGCGCAGGTAATCGATCAATCGATACTTACAAGCGATTTCTGTATCATATTTCTGTTCTTCGAGCATTTTTCGACGTTTAAATCGCTAAATTTCGACGCTGCAGACGGGGAAAACGAAGGTGTTCTTGAGAGCAGGTCAGATGGCTGAATTAGACGCGCGGCGAGCGCTGAAACTCAGCAATGCGGCGAAGACGATACAGAGAAGAATGAGAACTTATATCGCTCGAAAGTACTTCCACGCTTTGATGAACGCAGCCGTTCGAATGCAATCAGCTTCTCGAGGTTCGGATTTTTTTTTTTTCGGTAGATTTCGATTAGTCATTTCTTGATCGATCCATCGACGTTTTGGTAAGAAAATGTTTCGTTTCGTGTCGCGTCGATCTCAGGAAGGCTTGCTTGCAAACGCTTCGACAAATTGAAACGAGAGGCGGCTACTCTTAAAATCCAGACGAATTTGAGGCGGCATTTGGCAAGGAAGAACTACTCGATGCTCAAATCTTCGGTCACCGTCTTGCAAACTGGAATGCGAGCAATGGCTGCTCACAACGCCTTCAGATACCGGAAGCGAACGAGAGCTGCAACGACGATACAGGTGGTTATTGTTTGGTTTGATTTTTTTTTTTGAATTTACGATGAGTCGAGTTGAGTCGATGATCGATTTGTGACGGGGGGATATTGTTCGCAGAGCCGGTGGCGAGGCCATAGAGATTACAAATATCACAAGAGCCTTAAATGGGCATCGGTTCGGACACAATGCCGATGGAGAGGACGGCTCGGAAGAAGAGAGCTTCGGAAATTAAAAATGGTTCGTCATACGGTGTTTATATTCTTTCAAAGATTTTCTTTTTATTACATAAAAACTCGCAGTCATTACTCTTCGAGTGTGTATTAAGGAAAACCTTAAGCCGAGCACAATAGCTTTCGAACTATGCTAGCCAAGAAAGCCACCATGGATAAGTCCTGAGTGACAGACTGGCTGAGAAAAGGGAATAGTCACCCCATAATATATACAAACAACACATGTTCTTATTACACATAATATATATTGTATGTAATAAAGATATGTATTATTTGTTCATAATTATATATGTTGTATAAGAGTATCTCATATGCTAAAATTCACTGTTGTGTGTGTTGTATGTGACTATAGTATGTATTGTATTTGTATAATATTAATATATACAACGTGCTGTCAGTAATAATACTATGTACTTCCAGACACACTATAGCCTCCGCCACTGAGAAGACGTTGGCATGATTTGATAACATAGGAACTCGTAGTAACCACTATTCGAGTGTATATTAGGTAAACCTCCAGGTTGAGCACAATACATTTCAAAATCATGCCAGCCGATAAAGCCACCCTAGATAAGTCATGGGTGACAGTCTCAGCTAAAAAGACACTTGGCATGATTCGATAACGTAGAAATTTGCAGATGCTACTGTTCGAGTATGTATAGGTAAATTGAATCTATAGGCCGAGCACAATAGTCCTAGGTGACAGACTCGGCTAATCAGGTATTATTGGCAGAATTTGAACCAGTGATCTTATGGTTACCGGCCAACATATTACAATAACTCGTCCATAATTTTAACAACATTCACGCGTGTCGTAATTAGCTTATAATAAAAACTTCGAACATTTGCAGGCTGCGAGAGAGACCGGCGCACTTAAGGAAGCGAAGGATAAGCTCGAAAAGCAGGTCGAAGACCTGACGCTGCGCCTGCAGCTCGAGAAACGACGAAGGGTAGAAACTTACACTCAAGTGAAAATCGAGCGTCGTATTGTTGGCGCAAATTGTGTTCTAATCGATTTCTTGCGCAGGCCGACTTGGAAGAGGAGAGGACGCAGGAAGTGGCGAAGCTGCAGAGTGCAGTCGAAGGTTTGCAGAGCAAACTCGACGAAGCGAACGCATCGCTGATTCAAGAGCGCGAGACGGCGCAGAAAGCGATCCAAGAGGCTTCTGCAGTAGTTCACGAAACGCCGGTGCCTGTTGAGGATACAGCAAAGATCGAGGCTCTTACCGAAGAACTGGAGAAAACGAAGGTCGAAAATCCGGTGCTACTTTTGCTCGAATCACGCCATCTCCGCTTCCGTTTTTCACAATTTTCGATCGACAGGAATCGCTGGAATCCGAAAAGCAACGCGCTGACGACGCGGAAAAAAGATACGACGAAGCCATGGAATCGAGCGAGATGAAGAATCAAAAGCTCGAAGAATCGGAAAGAAAAGTGAGTCAGCTTCAGGAATCACTGAACAGGTAGAGTACCTCAACTTAAATTCTTCGATCGGTTCGACGCTTTTCGATTCTACGCCGACGCCCGATTCATCGCTTTTGCAGGCTCGAGGAGAAGCTAACCAACGTCGAATCGGAGAACAAAGTTCTTCGGCAGCAGGCTCTAGTAATGGCACAGAACAACAAACTGTTAGCATCCAGAAGCTCCAGATCGCTTATTCAGGTGAACTATGCAATAAAATTGACGACTTTTTCAACGCTAAATGTACCTCAACTCTTTTTTCACGCGAAATTTTTCCAGAGGACCGAAAGCACGAAAAGATCGATGGAGCTACACAGTCCGTCGATGAACGCAAGAGAATTAGAGCTCGACGATCGCCCCCAAAAATCACTAAACGAGAAGCAGCAAGAGTACCAAGACTTACTTATCCGATGCATCGCGCAGCATTTGGGATTTACGAGAGGCAGACCTGTCGCGGCCTGCATTATATACAAATGTCTTCGCCAGTGGCACTCGTTCGAGGTCGAGAGGACAAGTATTTTCGACAGGATAATACAAACTATAGGCCACGCTATCGAGGTAACGCCTATCGAATCTTTTACTCAAACTATATCGTCGAAAATTTTTTAATTTTCATAACATAAAATCGTCTCGTACCTTAGACTGGCGACAACAACGATCTCTTGGCGTATTGGCTCTCCAACGCATCGACGCTTCTTTTCCTGCTTCAACGTACTCTAAAAGCCGGGGTTGCGGCTGGCGCTACCCCGCAGCATCGGCGATCTACATCAGCTACTATTTTCGGGAGAATGACAATGGTAATAACAGAATTCACAGCACAGTAAATAATTAGCATTTTTACAATGTCGAAACATATTTTTTGCAGAGTTTCCGCGGCGCACCTCAAGGGGTAAATCTTTCTTTACTGAACGACGATTCTGCCGGCACCTTGCGCCAAGTCGACGCCAAATACCCTGCGCTGCTCTTCAAGCAACAACTGACTGCGTACGTAGAGAAAATATACGGAATTATTCGAGATAACTTGAAAAGAGAGATTTCTCCGCAGCTCGGGCTATGCATTCAGGTAAAACAACAACGTTGTATCTATCTAATCGAGCTAATTATAATTCTGCCGATCCTAAAACTTCTTACGAGTGATTTGATCGATTTAGGCTCCGAGAATATCCAAAGCGAACCTGTCGAAAGGCGCGGCTCGCGTCTCAGCCAGCGCTGCTGCACAGGAGATTTTGATTGCTCACTGGCAAGGAATCGTAAACAGCCTCGGGAATTTCCTGAACATTCTAAAAACAAACCATGTAAGCATTCGACATTGTCGATTCCTCTGATTTCTGCATCATTCGACATTATTACTAATAAAATTTACCCGAAATCGATCTACAGGTGCCGTCATTTTTGGTGAGGAAAGTCTTCACTCAAATATTTTCCTTCATCAATGTCCAGCTATTCAACAGGTGCCGTAAATTTACTTCTAGAAACTTCCCCGGCGCATAACTGGACTTATCGACTAATTTTTATTTTTTTTACCTCCTTGTAGCCTTCTACTGAGGCGAGAATGTTGCTCGTTCAGCAACGGGGAATACGTGAAAGCTGGATTAGCTGAACTCGAACACTGGTGTTACAAGGCAACTGACGAGGTATATATATTCGAGTCGGTCCTTATTCCGCACCTGTGATTTCATGAAATTACACCAAACTCCCTTATAGTTTCATAAATTTTGGGTCTAACCCTTGGCTGTCTTATTTAACGTATTTGCCAAACACGCGTCCAAATTTGCGAATGAATTTCATAATCTCAATTCCTAAACTCCCCAAATTACAAGTTATTTTCATTCATCTTATATTTAGTTTCAAAGAACAGTAAATATACTCGAAAATAGTTGTTTTTCTCAGGTTATAAGAGTTTTTTTTAACTGTTATTTAAGGCTAAATATAAGAGTAATGAATATATATACAATTTTAGGGGTTCAAAAATTGAGATTTTGAAATTCATTCGCAATTTGGGCGCGTGTAGGTTAAACACTTTAAATAAGAATCGCTGAAGGGGTTAGACTCAGAGTTTATGAAATCACGAGGGAATTTTACGCAGTTTTAAAAATACGAGGGATATAGCAACAAAAATTTAAACACATCCCTCGTAGGTTCGTTATACTAAAAATTATGGCATGTTTCAGTATGCAGGATCTGCTTGGGACGAGCTAAAGCATATTAGACAGGCGATCGGGTTCCTGGTATTCTTCGGACTTCTAGATCTTTCTAGATAAGCATAACGACTACAATGAAAGGCGATTTAATTTTCGAACACTGAAACAGGTTATACACCAGAAGCCAAAGAAGACACTTGATGAAATAAGCCATGACCTCTGTCCTGTAAGATTCTCGAATACGATTTTTCTTAAAAACATAGAATCTGGACCGCGCATTTCGTTGATTTTGTAATCCATTTCCAGGCCCTAAGCATTCAACAGCTCTATCGAATCAGCACGATGTATTGGGATGACAAATACGGCACGCAGAGCTTATCGCCAGATGTGAATCCCGACTACAAAAAATCTTATCTACTCTGTTTCATATATCAAACTAATCTCTGCCAATTTGCGACTACTTAATCGCAGGTAATATCGAGGATGAGGGTGTTGATGACCGAGGATTCGAACAATGCTGTTAGCAGTTCGTTCCTTCTGGACGACGATTCAAGGTTTCGGACAAGAATCCTATATTACTACTACAACAACTTGTTTTACTATTTCATCATTGTTCTTATCTTATTGCAGCATTCCCTTCTCAGTCGACGATCTTTCCAAATCAATGGAACGGTTTGATATTTTGGACATCGAACCTCCACCGCTCATCCGAGAAAACTCCGGCTTCAGCTTTTTACTACCACAAGCTACATGATAATTGGGACACATTTAGGACATCAAATCCGGCATTTTTGCTTCGATTAATACTTCAAGAACAACTCAATCTCTTGATTCTCATCAGGTATCTTATAATCCATATGTAATTTAAAAAGTCTACGCCATTCTCCCTTATGACTTAGAAATTGCATGAAGCTCTCTTTTCGTGTATTAGAAAACATTCGATAGGATCCCTTTTTGAAATGTTTTCTAAAACACGATGGAACTTCACGCAATTTCTAGGGATTCTGTGCAATGTTTTTTAAAATACGATAGAGTCTCATATAATTTTTAAATTATGAAGCAATTTTGCCGATACATTTGGAATCTTTTCGGGGCTAATAGCTATCTAGTTTATGCCTCATTGTAGATACCAAAGATCCAACTTCTTCAAAGAGCTGGAATTTGTGAATACATTTGGTTCGGGAGGATCCTCAGATCGTGTGTGAAGTTGATACGATTATATATCTTCTTCGCATCGCAGCCGATCGAATGTATGTACACTGATCGATACATATATATATATATATACACAATTAATCTGCAGATGGGATATTATATGAAGACACTACTAAGGTTATTATTTTTTTGTGTAGTTTTGTGCAGCATCTATACAAACTCAGCTCCAAAAGGAGCTATATATTATGTTATTTATCATTATATTTTCATCAAATCAAGTGTAGTTATTTTGATTGATTTTCTTGCATAAGGGCTCTTTCTAGTATTTTCAATGATCTGATTTCATGATTCTAAACTAATTGATACACTTCGATGAATGACAGACAATATATGACTTATATATTAATATAATACAAAAATAACACATACAACTGTGCACATAACATGTACTATCATTAATCTCAACATAAAAAATACTCCATTTGTCCTAAACATCTACAACATTTTCCTTTTAGTCTGTTACAAACATCCTACCATCATAGTTGTCGATCACGGATAACAGTGCGTAGCAGTCAATATCTAAAATGCTATAGAGGGATAGCGGATAGCGGTATGACTACTATTTAAATATTTAAGAATATATATAAATTATTATATATACAAAATTATAACAAAAATACATTAAAAAAGCCTATAAATTAATTTCATAATTATCACCCAAACCAATAAAATGTCAATGTATATAGATATGATCATAACTATTAGATAGTTATATAAGCAAAAAAAAAAATTAGATCACTATTGTGTAATAGAGATATATCAAAGCTAATCAGATTCAAAATCTTATAAAAAATTTTATTCCTCATTTTCATCATCTTCACTGTTTAATTACTTTTGTCTATATTTTTTTTTTCCTCTTCTTCATTCTCATCAATTTATTCAATTGCATGTTTGTCACCTTGTATAATATCATTTCTTTTTTAGAGTTAGAAGTATCTATAGCTTTTTTTTCTCATTGATGTATTGATGTTTGTATCTTAGTGTAGATAGCAGACCTATTAGCATTAACAATAATTCCTCTAGTCAAATTATCATTGTCAAAGACTAACTTATCCTCCCAAATTATCAACTTCTTTAATTAACCACTCATTGAAATCATTTAAAACAATAGAACCAATCACATCATTGCTACCATAATGATCTAACAAAATTTGGTTATTCTCGAAATGAATTTATAAGTTTTGTTAAGATTTAAGATAAATATTTTTTTTCTATATTATAATAAAAATGTACATTTTATAAGTTAAAGTTATATTTCAATTATTTTTCTGTTAAAAAATAATATAATAAGCTACAATAGCGGTATAACATAACATAGCGGAGTGCTGCTATAGGCTGCTACACCGCTATTGCGTAAGTGCGGAATTGCGGAGCGGCCGTAGCAGCAAAGTGCCTTTCCACTATGCTACGCCGCTATAGCGCGCTATGGACAACTACGCCTATCATATTTTCAAAATAGAAAATTATTAAATATATTTAATTCATAATAAATATACACCATACTTTACCAAGTCGTGTCACCCAAATAAAAATAATATATATATATACATTTCTCCCTTCTATTACATCGTCTAATTCCCAAATAATCCTATTTAAAACTATCCATTTAAATTCTCGTTTCCGAAAAATATTGCACCGTATTTGGGACAAAGAAAGTATATTTATACAACACATCCTGTAAATACAGGCGGCCGTTAGTACATGATTTCAATTAATAATCCTTCGGTCAACATGTGTTGTATCAATTGAAACTGTTGATTCCAACTGGTTACTTTTTATACAAATCTGTGGTTACTTTTTATACAAATCTGTGAATCAAAAGGGGGAAAATTTGTGAACAGAATAGCCATAGAAAGCCAAGTACTTGATTCAAAATCTGTATACTTTCTTTGACAAAGGACAACATATATACCAGAATGATTAATAGCACTAAAAAAAAGATATCATCATTATAATCATACTCTAGCTGCTTGACAAGAAAGTATATAATAATGTAAAGCTAGAGTGCTAAACATCTACCAGATTTGAGTTATATTTGGCAAAAAAAGGAACCCTAAACCTTCTGCATTCATTGCTTAAGCAATTCCCAGTTTTAGCAACAGACATTTTGCTGGTGAACTACCTCTAAATGCCTAGCTTTCTAGCTGCTATTCACTCTCACTCTAAAAAAAATTATTATTACTACAGACTCAAAAATAAATCAAGAAAAAGTCCCTAATGAATGAATATGTATTAGGTATTCTCTCCTCTCTTCTCTCTCTCTCTCTCCCTTCTCTGTGATGATTCTTGACTCAAAATCAAACCTTGAAAGAGCCTCTTCTTGTAATTCTCCTTGATTTCCTCTCTCCTGCTGCAAATTAGTTTTTTTTTGTTGTCTGAATCTTGTGTGAGAGAGGAACCAAGAATTTTATGGAGAGATGGAGGTGGAATTGTGGGCAGTTGATGAGGGATTCAACTTGGGATTTTACAAATTTGAGCTTCGAGAAAGATCGAGCTTATGGATTCTCATGGCCACAAAGGAACTACAAATGCAGCTTCTGCAATAAAGAGTTCAAATCTGCACAAGCTCTTGGTGGCCATATGAATGTCCACAGAAGGGATAGAGCAAGATTGAGGCTATCCCCTTCTTGGGATCCTCCCAATTCAAACCCAAACCCTAACCCTAACCCTAATTCCCCTAATTTATCATCATCTGCACCCAAATTTTCACCCTACAATTTGCCAATCCACTCACCATTACTGACTCCTGCTGCTGCTCCTACTTGGCACCAAGAAATGGCCCCGGAAGCCGACATCGACGACATTAGCAGAGGGGATAGGGAGAACAAGAACACAGGGCCAATTCTTGAGCTCACTGCAGGTTTTACAAGAAGAAAGGAAGCTAGGGTTTGGAAGGCAAGTGAGCTTGTTAGGTTAGATTTAAACTTGGGTTTGATCCAAGATAATGTTAAAGAGGATCTTGATTTGGAGCTTAGACTTGGATACTCTTAAAAATCAGATTTAATTGATTTATTGCATTCATAATCTAATATATATATATATATATATATATGTATATGCCTTTTTCATGTTTGGGATTTTTATGTAGAGCATGTTTTAATCTAATTTTTTCAGACTTTTTTTCTTTTAATTAACCTTCACATCTCTATTTGTATGGATTAGTTATCAAGGAGGAAGAAAAATATAAAAATAAAAATAACTATTGCTTCCTAAATTTAATTTATTTTATTCTTTTGTGAGTTTAATACATACCTAAGTCTCATTAATTAGATTGTGCATTAGATTTGCTTGCATCAGACAATTCAGTTTGCTCAGCAGTATTGTTCTTGTTCAGCTTTTTGAGGAATTTTATCAGAAATGATCATATACAAACTTGGGATCAGAAAGATAAAACATCACATTTCCCAATGACTAGAATTTTTATTTTTTATTTTTTTATTTTTTGGGCTTATTTGGCAGAAAATTATAGCATAATTTGTTCAGTGATTCATCAAAACATCATCGTTACTAGAACTATAATCATAGTACTTCTTACATATATCAACATAACATAAGACATGTGTGGATTTTTCTTGACCAGAAGCAAATAAATAAATAAATAAATGCTCATCATGGTGAAAACAGGAAATGATGAAATATATATTAATCAAATGGTGAGCGAATTCATCCCTTGTTTTTCTTTTTCTTTTTTTTTTTTAAAAAAAATTCAAATCAAACACTTTTTTATTTATTTAATATACTCTTTTCATCTCATATTTATTGTCTTATCTTATTATCTTTTGCCCATTCAATAACTATGATTCCATATCATAAATAGCAGCTTTTTTATTATTACACCTAATTACAATACACAATCATAAGAAAAAAAAAAAAAAAAAAAAACATTTAACCATTATTTTGTACTCACTACTAATAAAATACCAATATTTTCTAAACTCACTCACATTTTTTTTTTTTTTAATGATATGGCCATATGGGAGGAAGGTAATATTATATATATAAAAGATCAAATATTCCCTCTATCCCATAATTTTATTTTATTTTTTCTATTTTTGCATGTCGATCTTTTCCAAAATAAAATATCAGTTTCTTTAGTAACCTGCTTACCTAATATTTAAAATATCTTTATAATTTATAATATATTATATAAATATCACATAACTAATACACACCACTAATAAGGGATCGAGGAAATAGTATCACTTATATCAATCGTTATTTCAATTAAATTTTTTACTACAAATATAAATTCAAACCTTCAAGAAACACACAATTCGATTGAATTAACCTAAAATCAGATCAGCTGGGAATACAATACTTTGTGTGTTTGTTTGGGAGATTCTTCCCAAAATACACTATTTATCCAATTTTTTCTCTCAAAAAATATCAAATCAAACAACTATTTTTTATATTATACTAAGAATTAATTTTACATTCGAAACATCTATTTATATCACATTATACAATTATTCAAATTCAAAATTTTTACTATTTAAATCTCCAATTGAAATGCCAAACCCCAAACAAACAACCACTCCAAACTTTTGTGATTATTCTAAAGAATATGCACTCATCTCCAAGCTCATTAAATAATCCTTTTCACAAAAGAAAAAAGAAAAATGAAAAAGGGCACAGTAAGACATGTGTGAGACTACATAATACCAAAAGGGCCACTGCACACACACAGAGACAACAGACATTATAGATACACAGATAGATACATCCATTAAAGACAATGATGATGCAGTATAGGACAAACAATTCAAACAGCATGACATAATATATCACAATTGCATTTCTTCCCATCAATTCCCATTCTTCCAATTCCATTAATATGCAAGTAAGAATCAAACATGGAATGGATTTCTAAATCGTAAAAAATTTATATGTAATTTTACAAAATTGTGTGAAACTCTTGAATTTTTAAAATTGTTTGGTTTTATAAACTTATAAACTCTACGTCTAATTCCTTTTATTTAACCGATAATTGATCTAAACACACTCAAACTGCAAATAAATTTATAATACTAATTTCTAAATTTTTAAAATTATAAATATGTTTATTTCTCTTATATTTAGTCTAAAAGAATACTAAAAAAAAACTTAAGTTACGCAGATCAAATATCGTTGAATAAGTATAATCTAGAGAATTAAACACAAAGTTTATGAAACTATGTAATTTTGATGGAAATTTTGTATAATTTCGTAAAACTACGGAAGAAAACATACAGTAGTGTAGCCATTGCAGAAGAAATTACATTACATACATACCTGTCTGTTGGGGTGTGTGTATATCGATCGTCATGATGATGATGATCCTGGAATGAATTCATTGATTCAATTCAATTGATTCTGGACATTGAAGGGATATCCCATTTTCCAACACGACTGCAGATTCATCGAATTGCATGTTCCCAACAAAATGGCTAGCCAGGTTGTCCAATCCCATCATGCCTTTTTTCCCCCTTTTGGCAAACTCGTACTTTGCCCTCTTCAATGCCAATAAAAACACCCCTTACCACCTTCTTCATCCGCTCATATATATATATATATATATCTACACGTACGACTCAGAAGCATTTAATTGTGTACCTGTGTATATATGGATTTTGCAATTAGGGTTTTAGTCAAGCATTTTGTCGAACACCTTGTCTGCACAACCAATTTAGATTGAGTAATTAATCATGAGGGGTGGGGAGATCGCCAGAGACAAAAGATGTAGGGTGTTTGGGAAAGATGAAAGATGGCAGTCTTGTGATAGAGAAGGCTAGAGCGAGAGTCCAGTAGAGAGAGATAGAAACAGAGAGTCGCTGCTGTATCTATCTGTATGTATAGGGTGAATTTCAGTTTACTTTTGCTCCCTATTTGAGTCCAAATATTTATTTCGATATTTTGACTCCTCACTTATTTTTAAAAGTGGATCACAGTTTTTTTTTAGTTTGATTTAAAATATTTTTGTTTGAATATTTAAATGTGTATTTTTTGAAAATATATAATACATTTGTAGTTCAAATTTATTCTTACTTTTTTTTTATTTTTATTGTCATCTAAATTTATTTTTGTTTTCTTTTTTAGTAAAAAAATACAACTTTTTTTACCAAAAAAAAGTAAAAAAAAATTACTTTTACATATTTTTCTTAAAAGCTGTGTCCAGTCAAATGAGCACAGAATTAGATGACGGAAGGAGTATAAATTTTTCAGTAAAATAGTACTCATCCGTCTCAAAAAAGGTGCAATATTTACTTTTGGCACAAGTTTTTAAGTGAGAGAAATATATATTTTACTTTTTTATTTGGATGGTGCGAGAGAATAAAGTATGGAGACAGAGATTAAATATAATTAATTATTTTATATTTTAAAAATATTGCAAAATGTTTAAGACGTACCAAAAAAAAATGTTATATAATTTTTGGAACAGAGAATATTAATTAATGTGTGTTTTTTATAAATGGAAATATCAAAATACTATTGAATTTAATAAAGTTTGACAAAAAATAATCAATAACATAATTAGATTTTGGTCAAATTTGCTGACTCAATTATATACTCTCTTCATTCACAAAGTAACGTCCCATTTTTGCTATTTAAAAAATTCAATAATTATTGTCCTCTCTTTATTTTTATATATATAATTTACTTTTTATCAAATAGAATATTAAAAAAATAGACGGAGGAAATACATATTAATATGAATATAATACAATGATAAATATATCCGATTAGAAATAAGATTTTCAATTCGAATCCAAAATAACATTAATTAATTAGGTAATTATATATATATATAAATATAATAAACTTTAATTTAATATTATAAATTATAGTTCATATATTAATTTAAATTGAATTCAATCCAATCTTAAACACACTTTAGTTTAGCTTTGATTTCTTTATTTTTCACTTATTTATTTATTTTTAAATGTATGGTGTGCGATATGATTTTTCTTAAAAATAAATATATATTTATCTCATCACAAATTTATTGTTTGTGTGGGAAAGCAGAAATAGGAAATTTTTAAAAATTCCAATCAAACAACCCGCAGAGTATTAACTGGGCTTGTTGCTCTAATGAGGCTGTATTTATTAATTGGGCCCATTATTGGGCCAAATTCAAGTAAGCCCATTTCCAATTATGGGCCTCATTAGTGTGTTACAATTGAATAATGATTTCATTTGTTACACCAATGTTAAAACATTAGTATAATATATTATTCCTTCGTTCCATAACAAAATATCTATTTTTCTATTTTAGTCCATCCTGTAACAAAGTATTTATTTTAGTAATTGTACAATCTACCTAATATTACAAATACCTCTGCAACTTACAATATATTACACAAATGTCATTACCTTTATATCCCACAATACTAATAATGTTATTTTAGTCACTTTTACTTTATTCCTACTACATTTCAATATAATACTAATATTTCTAAAACTTCATGCAAAAAACAAATGGATACATAGTTATGAGACGTAAAGAGTACTATTTTTTATGTCCGATTGAAAAAAAATACTTCCTCCGTCCCATTGAAATATTATCATTTTCTATTTTCGTCCGTCACAAAACAAGGTTATCATTTTCTAATTTAGTAATTGTACTACCTATCTAACATAATAAATACTCCTTCAACTTACAATATATTACCCAAATGCCATTACTTTTATATTACACCATACTAATAGAGGTATTTTTGTATTTTCTACTACAATCCAATATAATACTAATATTAAAAAATCTACGTGCAAAGAAACAAATGTCACTCTTCCAATGGGACGGAGAGAGTATCATTTTGTCAATTTTTTTTTTTTTTTCTCATTTTGTCAATTTTGATCGTACAACTAAAAATTGGATGTTTTTTTTTAAAAAATAAAAAATAAAATAATTTAGCTTGAATTTTATATTTAAATAATATTTAATCCGATGTTTTGTAAATTCTTACATCTAATGAAGAATGTACATTAAAAAAATATATATTTTGCTCCTAAAA